TTCCCACTGTGGGGCCTGCTGGAAATCCCATCCTGCTATTGTGTGTTCCTCGTCTCTCAGGCACAACAACAGTTCAATAGGAGTGGCCATCCCTGGGTCATTCAGGTGCAGGTGATTTTCTTTCCTGCTAGAAATGTTCATTTTGAATGCATCAAATATTTCAAGTATACAATGAAGTTCAAAGAATAACTGACACGCAGGTGTCCCCCTGAGATTTTTCAAATATTAACATGTTGGCATTTGTTTTGGATTTTTAAAAAATAAAATACTACTGCTATGGTGGGAGATCACTCCCCATCCAATTCCCATTTCAATTTCCCATTGCTACCCAGAGGAATCACTGTCTTGAAGTTGTTGAGGATCATCTACATTTTATTATGGGATCTATAGAATATATAGAGTTATGTTTTAAAAATGTATATAAATGGTATCGCACTGTACTTGAGTCTTTTGTAAATACTTTTAATACTCAGTATTTCAAGAAATTTTTTCGTATTGGTACATTAAAATCCAGTTCATTTATTTTTGACTGCTATAAAGTATTCTATTATAAGACTGTATCGCAATTCATCCATTCCTTTTTTTTTCTTTTTTGTTTTTGTTTTGAGACAGAGTCTTGCTCTGTTGCCTGGGCTAGAGTGCAGTGGTGTCATCATAGTTCACTGCAACCTCAAACTCCTGGGCTTAAGAGATCCTCCTGCCTCAGCCTCCCAAGTATCTGATAGTACAGGTGCACGCCATGACACCCAGCTAATTTTTCTGTTTTTGGTAGAGACAGGGTCTTGCTTTTGCTCAGGCTGGTCTCCAACTCCTGACCTCAAGTGATCCTCCTGCCTCAGCCTCCCAGGAGTGCTAGGATTGTAGGTGTGAGCCATGGCACCTGGCCTATCCATTCCTTTATTGATGGATGGTTGGATTGTTTACAATTTTATTTCTGGTGTTCGTAACACTGTGAACACCCCGTCCACGCATGAAGGTTCCTCTAGATCTGTGCTGTACAGTACAGTAGCTGCTAGCTCAAGGTGTGCTTAGTCTGCATTTCGATGTGCTGTAGATGTAAAACGCGTACCAGATTTTAAAGACTGAGAATGAAAAAAAATATAAAATATCTCATAAATTTTTATATTGATTACAGGTTAAAATGACAATATTTTGAACATATGGTGTTAACATATATTACTAAAATTAATTTTATCTATTTCTTTTACATTTCCTGATGTGGCTACTAGAAAAAGTAAAATTGCGTATATAGCTTGCATTATATTTCTGTCGGACAAGGTTGTTCTAGAGCAGGCATCTATAACCCATTACCTGCAGGCTGGCCATCTGTTTTTGTAAATAAAGTTTTATTGGAAAACATGCCCATTCATTTATATATTGTCTGTGGCTGCTTCCCTGCTACAACAGCAGAACTGAGGAGTTGCAAGAGAGTCTGTATGGCCCATTAGCCTAAAATAATTACCATCTGACCTTTTAAAAAAAGTTTTCCTGCTGCTATTCTACAGTAGTAATTTTTAACCTTTTCTTTTCAACCATGACCCGCAATAAGAAATATATTTAATATCTGATCCAACACACACACACACACACACACATCTGAAACAAAAGTTTTACAAAACAAAATTTTACAAATCCTTACTATGTATTTTCATATTCTCTGGTCTGCATTGTTTTGTAAAAATAAAGTACTGGTCAATCACTGCTGTGACCCATTAAAATGACGTAGCCATTCATTCAGTACTAGTGATTTGAATGACATCACTCAAGAATGTATACCCAAAAATGGAGAGACTGGGTTATAGGAATGTGCATATTTAATTTATAAGATGCATCAAATTGTTATCCTATGTGTTTGTATGTGTGCATATGTGTGTTTACCAGTCTACAGTTCCACAGTGTAAGAAAGTTCCCCTTTTCCCATATCCTTAACAATACCTGATTTTGCCGGTCTAATCTGATCTGTCGGGCACGAAATGAAATCTTGTTTTATTTATAATGCAATTATTAGTAAGTTTGATCATCTTTTCATGCGTTGACTGACCTTTCATGTTTCTTTTTTTTGTGAGTTGCCTGTTCATTTCCATTGCTCTTTTTCAAATGGGATCATGTATCTGTTTCTTAGATTTATAGGCATTCTTCTTATATTCTGGATACCAATATTTTATCAGTTATGTGGGTTGCAAAGATGTGAGTTGCCCACTCCAAGGCTTGTATTTTTCACTTTCTTTATGGTGCCTTTTGTTTTATCAGACAGAAGTTTTAAATTTTAAAGTAGTGAAATTTATCTATCTTTTATATTTCTATTTTTTAAGCTCTTATTTAAGAGTTTAAATCCTTCCTTACCCCCACATTCACAAAGATTTTCTCTAATATTTTCTTCTAGCATTTAAAATTTGGTGTTTTTTTTTTTTTTATTTTCCATCACGAAAAAACTATAGGGTGAGATATAGCTCTACTTTTGTCTCTTCTTCTTCCGTAAATAGCTACTGCGAATACCACGAATTGGTGTGGCCACCCTCCCATCAGTGTAATGCTACCTTTGTCACATAGCAAGTTCCTGTGTACAGGGTCTGTTTCTTAGATCTCTGTCCTCAAAATATTGGTCCTAGATTTATCAGAACCAAACCTTCACTGATCACACTTATATAGTAACTGGGCCTCTGTTGTTTCATAGGCAAAGTTTAGCAATCTTTCAGGGAACACATCATGCATATCTTATAAAAACCACATGAGATAATTGAAAAAGAGAGAAGGTTACTCAATTCATTTTGTGTTTCTAATTTAACCTTTATGTCAAAACTGGACAAGGATGGGACAAGAAAGAAAAATTATAGGCTAGCCTCTCTTTGAATGTAAATATAAAAATCCTAAATTAAACATTAGTAAAAATGAATCTAGCAATGTGTAGTAAAATAAGTATATGCGAAGTATGTAGGCATGTTTAATTCAAGAAAAGTCATTAACATAACTCATCGTGTTAACAAAATAAAGGAGAAAAATGATATGATTTTTCCCATAGATATAAAAAAAGCATTTGAGAAAATCTAAAAACTGCAAATGATTTAAAAATAGAAAACTCTTAGAAAACTTGGAATGGAAACAAACTTGTTTAACCTAATAAAGAGCATCTACCAAAACCTACAGCAAACACACACTTAGTATTGACACATTCCTTTTACTGCTCTGATACTGAGTTTCCTCTGTATTTGGCACCTGAGAATTTTTCTTTCTTTCAAGCTTGGCTGTTACTTTAAATAATTGTGTGTGTGTATACGTATGTATATGAATATATATATATATATGCTGTTCACATATACATATATTTATGGTTTTTTTGTTTTTTCTATTTATATACATTTCATTGATTGTTTTGTTATTGTTGTTGTTGCGGTTTTTTTAAGTTTGTTGCATGGGGAACTGTGCCAGCTCACTAGCCATGATGCTGGAGTTTCTCCCTTGCTGAATTTCTGGGCCTGAAGAGTGAGAAACTCTAGAGACCCCTTTGGAGAGGGCAGAGATTGCCACAGAACTGGCTTCTGTCCTAGACTGAGGAGCTGTCATTATTCATCATTTCATACTCTGGCTTCCTCTAAGAAAACCATTAGTGATGGATCCAATGGGGATAAAAATATTGTATGAAACGTTCTATGATTGTATTTTGCCAGAGGGTTAAATAAAGATCATCTGCCATAGCTTTCCCTAAGGATTGGATGTTTCCCAGATCCCAACAGCGATACTGAAATGCAAAGACTACAATTGGATTACATCGCAGGAACCGTCACACTTATATTTGACAGCTTTAAAACATTTTTAAAATGTGTTTCTAAGGGTTGGGAGTGAGGAGAGGGACATGTTTTCTAAAGAGCCCTTTTCATGGTGGCAAACAAACTGTCTCTAAACTTTTCTGTTAATAAACAAGGGATTCCAGTGACTATGAAAACTAATACAGGGCCTGGCAATGTTGAACACAAAGAACAATGGATCAATTCTTAACTGTAAGGTCATATGCATTAAATAAGGCAGTTCTGATGGCAAATCAATACTGTATTGTGTATTTCCTATAGCAGATGGTGAGACATAGATCTGCTGTAGCAGGAACAGGAATGTCATCAGGAAATATCAGTTTGGACAAATGTGGGTTACCACCAGCAGGGAAAGAGCTGGATTGATCGTGATCTATCTCCCTTCATGGTGAAAATGTCAGGTCAGAGGTGAATATTCATGTGGTCCTTGGAAAGGGGGAAAGAGAAATCAATAAGCTAAACACTCTACCTAATAAGGGAACTATTTTCTCCAAGGTGAGTTCTTTTTTCATGGAGTTGGTATTCCTGTCCCTGATATGTCAGTAATGCTGTCTTAGAGATGCAACAAAAGATTTCATAGAAAACCAAAGGGCAGATTCCATAGTTTGGGAACAAGGGTTATGTCAGCTTGATTCTATCTAAGCATTTCCCTGGAAGTCTGGGTAAAATTTAAATAAAGTTTTCCTTCATTCCAAGGAACAACCTAGACCCTTTGAAACCATGGCAAAAGAGTACCAGGCAAAAAAAAAAAAAGAAAACCCACATTTTTAGGCCTAGTTTGCAATGCTCTTGTCTTGGGATCTTGCAAAACTACCTAATCTCTGTATATCTCTATACATTGGCTTGTATGATAATGTTTTGATTTTTCTTTGTAGAGATGTTACACAGGATCTAATTGATAACATCAATATTTTGGCATATGGGATCAGAACATGAAGGCAGTTCTTTCCAAGTCAGGATCGGGGTGCTTGTCTAAATCGAATAGGCTCACTTCTCCTAACCACACTCGGAAAGTCTCCTGCCACTCATGTGCATAAGGATTCAGAAGAGCCTCTATTCTCTACCCCAGAATATTTTATTTTAAACTTGCTGACATTGGCTGGGTTTCAAGAGCCCAGTAGGTTCACAATCCATTAGCCTGGTTTCTGAATGGAAACCAAATGAATTGCTTTCATTGTTTGTTCCTACCTTTTCCAGGCACCTTTTAAAAATGAACAAGAGCAGCTCTGATTTGGAGAAAGTGAGCCAGGGCTCTGCAGAGAGCCTCAGCCCATCCTTCAGGGGCGTCCACGTCAGCTTCACCACTGGCTCCACGGACAGCCTGGCCTCAGACTCCAGGACCTGCAGCGATGGAGGTAACACACTCGACCTTGACAGAGAGGCTTAGGGTCTCGTGGACCTGCAAGGCCAGTCCTGGATTGGTTGCCAGGATTCGGAAGGGCTGTGCAAAGCCCGCTGTCTCGGTCCTGCTTTCTCCATGGAAGCATGACTTCTTCAGGGAGTAGTGGAAGTTAATTCCCTACTGAGTATTGTGACAAGCCACCTCATCCGTGGTGCCCTTGCCGATTATAAGCACATTAGCATGGCAGCAAGGTGGGAGGAAGATGAGGTTGAAAGATATTGAAAGGCTCCTGATTCCTTGGGTAACCATCTATGTATAGGTCTGTTCTCCATTTTTATCCTCAGGGTTAGTTCTAAGGGGGTTGGATGTCTATAAGCCACAAGTCACCCTCTCTGTCAATCTCTCTCTCTCTCTCTCCTCTCTCCCCACCCCCACACTTACTTGCACACAGCGGTGTTTACATACATGTTGAATTAAAGCATGGAGGCTTCATTAGGCCACCATCCATCCCACTTTCCAGACTCAGCTCTAAGTCACAATATGTGAATATGTCTTGATTGGGCATGTCCCTGTAAAGGAACTTTTGTTTTTCTGTCCTTGTGGCCTGGATGGGTGGTATTTAAAACCTCTCACCCTTTCAACATTCTTGCAGGGGTGCGTGTGTGTGTGTGTGTGTGTGTGTGTGTGTGTATGTGTGTGTGTGTCCCCTCCTGTGAGTCTCTTCGACATGTATCAATTAGCATGTTGGGTTTAGACATGTGCCAGCGTGACTTCCTTTCTCATTCCTGTGGAAGTATTTCTTCTCAGTAGGCAATTCTGCAGTAGAGGGTTCCATCGTAAATTTACTGCTAGCAACATTTGTCTATCTAAAAGATAGGTGGTGACTAAGGAAAAAGCGTTGTGTTGTAAGTTAGTCTGTGGTGTGTTCCGATGGGAAAGCTCTAATAGCTTTCGCATAAAAACAGGAAATATCTTAGCCTTGATTTGGGAGGAATGTAGCAAAAAAGGATTTTCTTTTTCTGCAGATTTTTCTAGGCTCCTATCTTCTTCCTTTTCCCATCCCATTGTGCCAAAAATTCAACGAGGCAAATTATTCCATAGAGGGCTGGGCATGTCAGCCATTAGACCCTGTGCTGGTCAGCTCTGATCCGGTCTCTTGGGGACTGTGACTGGTTCTGAGAAAATGAGCTGTAATGGACCCCTCCATCGGCCACCAGTCAGCAGGTATTATGAGAACTGGGCTTCATTGCTTCAACACTTTGCTTCTCTGAAGCAGTAAGTTATGACATCTGGTCTCAGGGCTCTTAAGGACCAGCTAGGAAAAAGGTAGTTAAAACACATGACACTTGGGTGGATGGGATAAGGCAGGAAATTGGGCCACCCAGAACATGAGTGCTTCTACGACTTTCTAAAGGCTTCCAGAAGAGAGAGAATCAATGAGGACCTACTGGGGGTAGGGGTGAGGGCTTCAGGGAGGGCTTTTTGAGAAGGTGGGACTTCGGGAGGGAGGAGTGAGGAGGAGAGGGCTTTCTAGGTTAAGGAAATATTAATAATAAAACAGGAATAGGGATGACAGTGCACACCTGGAAAAGGATGAGACCAGCCTGACATGCTTCAGGTGAGGGGGAGGGGGATGTGAGGTTGGTGGAAAGCCCGGGGCTAGATTGCACGAGGCCCTGCACAGCCATCTGTGGAGGTGAGAGACGGGGAACCACGGGAGGTTTGTGAGTACAGCGTGGGCACCTAATTCAGACTTTTCTGTTAGTTTCTCAGAGCACGAATTAAAACGAACATATTTTCATGGTATTCCTTTGTTACAAGCCAGATATTCAGTGGAAATACACTTCAAAATTTGGATTCCTAGATTGACAAGAAGATATGTACCTTGTCACTAGACTCTGGCCCCTTACAGACAACCACTTTTATCTTTTGCTCCTGGGTATGGCTCTGTACCTGGAACCATGTTTTGAAACTGGCAAGAGACCAAAGGGGTATATTCATTCATTCATATTCTCTCTCGCTCGCTCTCTCTCTCCCCCCCCTCCTTTTTAATGTCTCAAGCATTAATCTGGAATATATACCGAGCCACTGGTCATATAATGTGAGAAGTCTTTCAGCTTCTCACCATTTACCAGGACAACTTGCTTTTCAATTTGTTATTGAACAATTATCTTTCATTCCCATGGGTCCTTACTGACTTTTATCTTGTAGCTGAAATATTTACCCATTCACGACTTTAGTTACTATGTGGGCTGGAGTAATGACACTGAGACAGTGGTTCAGACAAGAAGAAGTAGAATCAGTTCAAGCTGAGGTTCTCTGAAACTTGAGTGTAGTGTCTGCCTCTCTAAAATTATACATTAAGTCAAAAGATACCGTCAGACTCTACATTTATTTTGTCAGGAAAAATTCACTAATGGAAACAATGCATTTTGTTAACTTTTTGCATCCCTGAGTGAGTTAAGGAAAAAGTCACCCCAGGACGTGGCATAATAGAAGTTTGTGTAAACTTCTTGGAAATTTATCAGGGTTAATGGTTAAAGTGAGTGATCTACCATTCGGGTTTTATAGCACAAAGTACAGTTTTCCATTTTATAAGAAAAACATAATTGAGATCTATAGCTTTGTTCCATATTTAAAAACAGGAGTTAATTCTAAAGTGTTATGGTGACCAAATGTCATTTTTGTATTAATATTAATTTCGCCTCTTTATACTTGTATCGAATTTCACATTTCTCCCAGCACATTTGCTATTGCATTTGTCCACGCGGGCAGTTCAGTTGCACAGTGAGTCAACTCGATGGAAGGAAAAATGTGTCTAAGCAGTTGTTTGGTTTGTGCTTAGTTGGGGAAGGACAGACTGCATGTGTCCGGACAGATCCATGAAGGCTGCCAAGGGGAAGGTTGTCTGCAGGGAACGGGTGGGTGCATATGAGAGAGAAATCATCAGTGGAATGACCGTCGGAAATGTCATCAGAACACTCTTGTCCTTTATGCGATTCCTTCTAAATATGCAAACCTAATGTCACATGGAGAGCACGTCCCTCTTTGATTTAGGATAACATGAAAATTCAGTTCAGCAGTTCAACAAACATGTTTGAATGCAGGGGATTAGAGGAGATTAGAGAGTTCTCTGTTGAACTGAAACCATCGGCACCAGCAATAGATAGGAAGTCTAACAATACAGTGTATATAGGTATAAACTCACGTGAATGTCTGTACCAGGGCAGTGTAGTTATTCTCATTTTTATAGCTAGCAAACCAGAGGTACAGAAAGTTAATTAAATATTTTGATAGTAGCTTGTTTTGCTTAACAATAATGCCAGGCAGTTTATATATATGTGTGTGTTAGCTCAATCACTCATTTGATAGATATTTGTTGAATGCAAACTCTATGCTGGGTGCAATGCTAGATGCTGAAGACCCAGCAGTGGAAAGAAACTCCTAGTCCCTTCTTTCAGAGGGCTTGCATACTGGTAGGGAGAGATAGGCGATGGGAAGATAAAGAAATAAAGTAGCTAGCGTGGCAGGCGGTAGCTAAGTGCTTCCATCAACAGCATATGGAGGCCAGGCACGGTGGCTCACACCTGTATTCCTAGCACTCTTGGGCAGGCCAAGGCAGGAGGATCGCTTGAGGTCAGGAGTTCGAGACCAGCCTGAGCAAGAATGAGATGCCATCTCTACTAAAAATAGAAAAAATTAGCCGGGTGTGGTGGCACGTGCCTGTAGTCCCAGCTACTTGGGAGGCTGAGGCAGGAGGATTGCTTGAGCCCAGGAGTTTGAGGTTGCTGTGAGCTAGGCTGACACCAATGTACTCTAGCCCGGGTGACAGAGCAAGACCCTGTCTCAAAAAAAAAAAAGGCAGCATATGGAACTGACTTTTAATTTTACTAACTTGGAAGAAAACCTTTAATGATAATGTTACACCAGAAGATTGAAAGTTCACGATTCCAGAACCACACTTGGGCTGTCGGCATGGTCTGTGAAGGTGTCTAGAGCCTTTCTTCCAAACTGAGACAGGGCTTCTCTTCTTTTGCATGTAATCACATTCATGTCTTGATCATTGTTTCCTGGGACGATTAAGTGGTCTGGAGAAACTCCTCACAAATGCTACATTTTCCATCCAGTTGTAAAATGCTAATAACATGCTTCCAGTTTCAGACCACGTTTATCTTCTTAAAAAACCAAAGGCTCCTTTTGAAGGAATGCTTTCCTTTAAAAAAAAATTCTGTGTTTAATGTTGAGCCTGTTCTGATTGTAGAACCAAACAAGAGGTTGCACAATTTTCCTTGGGAGGGAAAAGTTTCATGTAAAGCTAGAGCATCCCTCTGTCCCCGCACTTCGAGGGACTGGCAGAAACCTGCATGATTGCCACTTCCAGCAAGGTGCCTACACACATGGCTTTAGTTTTCTCACCTCTAACATGAGGGGATTGAACTAGGCCGCAGGGAATGGGCAAGGTTTTCTCCAACTGCTTTGTCCCCTGAACTTTGCACGTAGTAGGTGCTCAAGAAATAGTGGCTGAATGAGTGGATAAATCTATATGGATAAATCTATGGATAAATCTACACAATCTGTTATCCTCATTAAAAAAAAAAATCCATAAAATACTACAAGTTTTTCCAACAAAAGAAAATTCCATTCACTTTACCTTACTCGAAGTTGGAGAACAGTCAAGCACACAAGCTAAGAGCTTGGGCAAACTTCGCTGGGGCTCTGCCCTTTGCTCTCCCCCCAGCTGCTGTCAGATAGCAGAGCCGTGCACAGGGAGAACCAAAACAGGACTGACCACTTCCTCTGTAAGCACAGCTCTCATTTTGGCTGCAGAGAACAATGAAAGTACCTATTAAAACCCAGCAAGAAGAGAGGGCTCTATAATAAGGAAAACCTCACAGTACCACGTTTGAACTTTTGGCCTGCATTTCTGCAGAGGGGGTAAGCTGTTCTTCCCAACCACTGAAATCCTGATTTCTCATCTCTGCTTTCTACATAGAATGACACCAAACTAGTATACCCTTCCCCTAGGTCTTTTTACGATCCCACCCAATGCGCCTTATGTGATTTGTAGCTTCCCACTAGACACACATTGACTAAAGGGATGCGGGGATTTCTACTGGATAGTCAGAAACTTCCTTTATATGCAGAATTGAGAATTAGAAGGAAAACTTAGGAACTGGGGTTCAGAGCCCTCTGGCCCAACTAGTATGCAAAATTACTAAAAACCTATCACTGATATAACTAAAACGTAGGCAAAGTTCCCAAAAAAGTGTTTTCCACTCTTACCCCTTTTACACCCTTAATTGTAAGCCAGACTTTGGAAACAGCCATCTAACTCCAGCATAAAACCAGGATGTATTTGAATTAGCCTCATGTCCCCTTGGATTGGAGTCCTGAGAATATGGGCTGTTGACCAAAGTTATTCAGGAGTTTTTAGGCAGATTTTTTTCTGAACCGGTGGTCTGCCTGTGAATTTTGAACTATTTTAGGTGGCAAGGCATATTCTACCCTCTTCTTTCTGGCTCTTCTAAATCCAGAGTGTGGCAGCTGCTACAAATAGTAAGAATCTAGTTGCTATGTTGCTTAAGGCTATGTTTATGAAGAGGTGGTTCCCTAAGTTAGTCAAGAAAATGACAGAGCTGGAGTGGACCTTTAGGAATAGCCGCTGATTCCCCATAAGACAGCGACTGCTTATCACGTGGTGGAGAAATCAGTTACATCTAGAAGGGCCACAGGTTAGCATCTATTTCAAAGTAGCCCTGAGAATATTAACACCTGAGAAGCCATAGGATCCCCAGGGACCTGGGGGCTCCCAGAGTGAATTAAGGCCTTTCACCAGCTGTCCCTCCACATCTGGAGAGCTTCGAGGAGCTGCAAGTTCAGAAGGTGGTGTCGCAGAACCAGGCACATTTTTTTTCCAAATACAAAAATCATAATATGTGTACACGGCGCCCAGTTATCCAGGTAAAGTCCACATTTCAGGTGAGCCTTACTTCACCTGGTAAGGTTTGTGAAACCATAGGCCGTTGCTTCTGCAGGGCAAGTTCATGGTTCAGGAGCGTTTGTTTATGCAGTCCCATTCTCTGATGAGTACATATATTACGGGTTGCTTGGTAATAAACTCACAGCATCTAAGAAATAAAGAAAAATGAATTTGGCCAGGTGCAGTGACTCACGCCTGTAATCCCAGCGCTTTGGGAGGCTGAGGTGGAAGGATCACTTGAGGCCAGGAGTTGGAGACCAGCTTGAGCAACATAGCAAGACCCCACCTCTACAAATTATAAAAACAATTAGCCAGGTGTGGTGGCATGAGCCTGTAGTCCCAGCCATTCTGGAGGCTGAGACAAGAGGATCGCTTGAGCCCAGGAGGCTGAGGCTGCTGTGAGCTATGATCTCACCACTGCACTCCAGCCTGGACAACACAGTGAGATCCTGTCTCTAAAAAAAAATAATAATAATAACTAGCCCATGTGCTAATCCTTGGAGCCATGCCTCCCTCCAGATTATTAATATCCCATGCCAGATTTACCCAAGCAGTTGTGGGGTATAGATCTGATCAAAGTCACTAACACAACTCCCATAGAAAAGCAAGAAAACACAGCATAGGGTATAGGAGAAAACCACTCTCTCTCGGCTGCTTGAACACATCTTGGTGCTGGGCCCTACCATACAGTCTAAAGCACAACCTCTTGATTCTCTTTGGTAATCTAGGGAATAAGAAATGTTACAGATTATTATTTTTTTTTTTAGAGATTCCTGCTACTCCTATGGATTGCAAAATTTGCCAGCTTCAGGCTGTGTGAACTAGAGAGAGGAGCTTTTGCAACGAGATAACCATCTGCCTGGAGGCGTTTGCTTTCAGGGGCAGCTTTGAGACAAAATGCTTGTTTGGAAAGGTTGAAAATGGAGAGAGTGGCTGAAATTATAGACTATTAGTGCTGGGAGGGGCCTTCCCAATGATGCAATCCGTCATTTTTAAACGAGGAAACCCAGCTGGATAAGGCCAACAGCTGGCGAAGGTTTCATTCCGCTGGTCACCATTGAATCAGGGTAGAAGCAGAAAGGGGCATATTGGAGGCATCAAAAAGCCTCACCTGGCTGGGCGCGGTGGCTCACGCCTGTAATCCGAGCTCTCTGGGAGGCCGAGGCGGGAGGATTGTTTGAGCTCAGGAGTTCGAGACCAGCCTGAGCAAGAGCGAGACCCCCGTCTCTACTAAAAAAAAAATAGAAATTATCTGGACAACTAAAAATATATGGAGAAAATTAGCTGGGCATGGTGACACATGCCTGTTGTCCCAGCTGCTCGGGAGACTGAGGCAGTAGGATCGCTTGAGCCCAGGAGTTTGAGGTTGCTGTGAGCTAGGATGACGCCACGGCACTCACTCTAGCCAGGGCAACAGAGTAGGACTCTGTCTCAAAAAAAAAAAAAAAAGCCTCACCTTAAAGACAAGGAAGATGAAACCAATAAAAATGGGGAAATAGCTTAAGGCTTAAAGAAGGCACTAGCCAAGAAACTGACTTGTTAGCAACCTCTCTGGCTGTCCCTGTCACTGCCACGCTGATGAAAGTATGGACCAAACATCTGATCACATCCCACCTGCAGCCCCCACCCGGCCCCTGCCGTGTTGATGATAAATTGAGATCAGACACCTGGGTGGTGCAGAAAGGTCAGGAAATGCAGGTGTGCTCCCTGCTGGCCAACCCTCTTACTCATCAGGCTGGGGGTTTGGTGGCTCAGACTTTCTGTCCTTTGAGAGCCTCCTAGGTAGGTGGTCTTGCCCTCCCTTTTTTAGCTTCTGAGGAGGAAGGGAACCATCCACCTTAGCCTCCTCCTGTAGCTTTCTTGGGAAGCATGGGATGGGCAGACCCATGGACTCCAGGGTTTTAGAGCCTGCCAGGCCGGGAGCTCCCCCCGCTGTGGCTGGCTGCTGCTTGTGCAGCCTCCACTCTGACTACTGAGGGGAAAATTCATGGGCATGTACAGCTGGCTGATCCCAACTGTGCCACTGCTGCTCCATTTATTATTAACCTGAGCCCTCCTGGAAGGGGTATAAATCACTCATTCAGCCTTGCCGGCAGGAGCCCCGCCCATCACTAACAAAGCAGGGTAAAATGGGAAGGGTAACTATGATCTTGATAAAGCACTAGGAAGAAAAAGGGGTTGCTACTGCAGACTGGAAAGAGGGCAAGGGGGCGTGAGAAGCATCGTGCTGCCTCCTGAGCCTGGGGAGGGTCCAGGATGGGGTTGGTGTGGGGTCCGACAGGCGTGCTCGGCTGCCTGGGGGCTGCTCTTTGCACGATCCCGTTTGTTCTCAGATCCTGTGTCCTACACGCTGCGTGCTCCGACTTTATGGTTCCAAGACTTTGCATTCGAGGTTGTACTAGGCAGGAGGCCCCTGCGGTCACCCACTGGTGCTGCCCCGGCCAGTGCGGCTGGGGCATGAATATCGGCGCCCACCATGCCCAAGGACGTGGCCATCCACCCTCCGTGTGCATCGTGCCTTTTTCGTTCGGTCCCACTGCCGAGATGGGGCGAGGTGCAGAGAGACACTACATGCTCTGCCCTGAGGTGACATGGCACGGGGGACTCAGTGAGGAGGGCACATCCTAAGTCCCCATTTCCTTGAATCTAAGACCCGTATTTCTTTCACATCTTAACCTTCAGGATGATAGGATGTATTTTACAACCTATGGATATGGTTAAGGTTTCTTTTATCCCCCTAAAAGCTGTTATTCAAATAACAGATCCATCTGAGAGTCAGTTCTTAGAATGAAGGAAATGAGTATTATTCCAATCTGCTTTTTTCTCTGTCCATTTATACCTATCTCTTTACTACACATTTTTTACTTAAGCTCTTGCTTCACTGTGAAGCCACCATTTTATACATTGATAAGAAGAATGACGTCCGGCCTTCACCTTATAAGAGCTGGCCCTCCCCTCCCCATCTCGTGTGCTGCCCGGACAGGTTTTCTGAATGTCCCTGTGCTCTGTGGACGCCTGTGGCCCTGCTTGAACCTTCCCCCACTTCCAGTTCAGTATCCCTGTGCTCCACTCTGGGAACCGTGAGGCCTTGAAAAGACCTGCTTTCCTTTAAGATCTGTTTTGTCATTTATAAAATCACATTCTCCATCCTTCTACGATGCCTGTGGACCTGCCCTGCTCGCTAAGCCAGCAGGGTGTTTGTGAAAACACAAAGAACTTCACACCGAAAAGGAAGAATTTTACCATAGGTCAACTGTTACACCTTCCGTAAACCTGACATTTTTAAATAATCCAGTCAAACCACACAGGTTCAAGTTTGTTTTTGCTGTTGCAGCACTGTTTGTAAAATATTTGAAAAAATATAGATGTCTACCCAGGGGGACTGGTTCGATAAATTATGATACTACATATGATGATATATTATGGTATGGTTGCTTAAAAGAATTAGATAGATCTGTGCATCTAATGCGAACTCTCTCCAAGATGTGAAAGAAAAGCAGTATTCCCATCAGTGGGCACTGTTTGCTCTCTCTCGTGTCAACGTGTGTGTGTGCACATTTGTTTGCATTGTTGGAAGAATGGGTGACAAACTTCTGCCAGTGGTTTTCTCTGATGCTAAGAAGGGACAGGGTGCTAAGAAGGGACAGGGTAGGAGGAAGACTTGTCAATGCATACCTTTTGTCATTTTTTGTCCACTGTGCATATATTGTCTATTCAAGAAATAGAAAAGAAGTGAAATAAAATTAAGTTCTTTGATTAAAAAAAAAAATCATAATAATGCTGCAGGACCCTGGAACCAAGTGGCCTTGGCCTTGGCCTGATCGTTTGTGTTTCTCCTTTCAGGTCCGTCGTATGAGCCGGCTCACTCGCCCACCATCAGCGGGAAGAAGCTCTTTGCTCCCGTTCCATTCCCTTCGGGCTCCACTGAGGATGTGTCCCCCGGTGGGCCCCTGCAGCCCCCGCCTCTCCCCCAGAAAAAGATAGTGAGCCGCGCAGCCTCCTCCCCGGATGGCTTCTTCTGGACCCAGGGCTCGCCCAAGCCCCGGACAGCAAGCCCCAAGTTGAACCTAAGCCACTCGGAAACCAACGTCCACGACGAGTCTCACTTTAGCTATTCCTTTAGCCCCGGGAACCGCCACCGTCACGGCTTCTCCTCTTCCGAGCCCCTGGAGAAAGCTTTCAAAGGCAGTGGCCACTGGGTCCCCGCGCCGGGGCTGGCGGGCAACAAAAGCAGCTGCGGGAGCCCCGGCCTGCAGTGCAAAGGGGCCGCCTCCGCCTCGTCCTCCCAGCTGAGCGTGTCCAGCCAGGCCTCCTCTGGCAGCGCCCAGCTGCAGCTCCACAGTCTCCTGAGCAGCATCAGCAGCAAGGAGGGGACCTACGCCAAGCTGGGGGGCCTCTACACCCAGTCCCTGGCCCGCCTCGTGGCCAAGTGCGAGGACCTCTTCATGGGCGGCCAGAAGAAGGAGCTCCACTTCAACGAGAACAACTGGTCGCTCTTCAAGCTGACTTGTAACAAGCCCTGCTGTGACTCGGGGGATGCCATTTACTACTGTGCCACCTGCTCCGAGGACCCCGGCAGCACCTATGCTGTGAAAGTAGGTACCACCCCGTCCTTGCGTGCTGCAGCAGCACTGGCTGGTCCTGGTGTGGGCAGAATTATGGCTTGAGCAAGCCATTTCGCCTCTCTGGGCTTTAGGAAAAGGCTCGATTCCTAAGAATCCTTTTCCCCCTTAGCAATCAGTGATGACGCTCTCTGCCTGGCCTAGCACATGGGGCAATGAGAATTGTAGATGAATGTAAGACGCATTCTGTGCTTTCAGGAATGAACCTATGTGATCTAGTTGGATTAAGAAAACAGTTGCCTTTTAGTGCAACAGAATTCATTCATCTATTCAGCAGGTTTTTATTGAGTGTCTACTATATGCCAGGGATTTTGCCATGATCTCAGTACATAGGGGTGAACACAGGTTCCTTATGGGGCTTATAATGTAGTGAGGGAGATGCACAATTGAGATATTGTTTTTCCAATGTTAGGGCCAGAAGCAGCATTAGCCCTAGGCATTGTCTGGAACAATACCAGTAATAATAACATTTATTGAACATCCACTATACAGCTAGACTCTTGGCTAGGCGTATTAGCTACATTGCCTATAATCCTAACAGTAACTCTGTAGGCTACGTAGGTCTACAGATAGGGAATCTGAGGCTCAAAGTGGATTAAGTTGCCCACAGCTAGTTGATTTAATGATTAAGTAAGTTGCACACTTCATCTATGGCTGAAATGGCTTTGAACCCTGGTTTGTTTGTTGCCAAAGCTTAAGCTAAGATCCTCTCAGTTAAGGTAAATAAAATTCAGAGAAGTGAAGTGACTAGCCCAAGGTAACACAGCCTTTTAACCTCTGATGCTGGATCAGGGCTGTTGCTACCCCACCTCATTGCTGTCCCAGAGTGCAGCTCTGCAAGAGCTAATGGAACCGTCTACACCCATTTGAACCACTGTGGTCTCTACCATGGTTCCATGATCTCTATCTCTACCATGCAGTCTCTATCAGTTCTTCCTTACGGCGTGTTTTCTCATCTTCCTTCGGCGTTTCTTGAATACCTGGTGGGTCCATGGCCTTCTATAAATGCAGGCTTTTGTGGGGAGTAAGAAAGGGGACCCTGAGCTCTCTTCTGCCATCCCCTGTTCCAAGACATTCCTTTTTTTCCAGTTAGAAAAATGCAAACAGTGAACTAACTTGAAATGGTCTTAGTGGGGTAGCTTGCTTACCAGCAAAATTTTTTTTTGAGACAAGGTCTCACTCTGTCGCCCAGGCTGGAGTGCAGTGGCACAATCATAGCTCACTGCAGCCTCGAACTCCGGAGCTCAAGCGATCCTCCCGCCTTGGCCTCCCAGAGTGCTAGGATGACAGGTGTGAGCCACTGCATCTGGCCACCAACAAAATTTTTAAAAATAGTATGATTATTAGCCAGGGAGATTGCAGTGAATTTTATTTTGAGATTTTTGTTTTAAGAAATTTGTGACACCACCATAAAATAGAGATTGGGAACCCCTCGTTGATATGTTCAAGGGGCTATATATAATTACTTGCTGCCTTCCTGTGAAAAAGCTGGAGAAGTGGCTACTAGGAAGACCCAGTTTATTGTACAGAAATCAAGGGCCCAAAGGCTGGGAGATTATGGCCAAGATAGCAGGCACTGGATGGAGAACACACAGATGTCCCGAATGAGATTCTGTGGTATTATTTTTTGAACTCCATTGGCTCTTTATTATCTAAACTCAGCAGCTACTTTCCTGGTAAGCCATACTTCCCTGCCTCTCCCCCGACCAAAGAAAAAGAATCCCAGAGTTTCTCTTCCTCTTAGGATGGTGCTGTATCCAGTAGAGGAAAAAGTGATTGGACCCTGTCTGAGCTGAATATGATTATCCTGGGCTTGTCATTGTGGGCTGAGATCCAGGTTCTGTTGTCGTCCAAGGCAAGGGGCTTAACTTTGAGCTCCTTGAAAGCCGAGGGGATGAAGTGTGTTTAGGAAGTTCGTGGCTTTCACTAGCCCCAGCGAACCTGAGAATGTGATCTCTGGATCATCCTTCTTCTACCTTGAACCCTCCCTGTGTTCAGGTGCATCGGTCACTCTCGCCTTGGCTCCTGGGACTGCACCTGGGGACTCATTCTGTGTCAAGAGAGAACTTACCTCTGCATTTTGAGGAGGAAAAAGCCTGGTGAAAAGGCTTAATCCCTCTTGCTCATGGGATAGAAAGTGAGGTGACTCTACTGCAAGAAGTAAGGGATGGAGTCTCCTGGCACAAGGTACCTGGTTCTGCCCCTGAATCCGAACCCTGGGGCAAAAGGTTTTGTTTTTTTATATTGATAAGTGATTGTGCTGTGCAGCTTGGACTCCAGGGCCTCGTATAATAATGTAGAATTAGCCATATTCTCCAATAAACAATGCAGAAGAAATTCAGCTTTCCCGGAGGATGTTAAAAACAAGCATGGCTCCTTATTTCGTTAGAAATCTAAGCCACACAAAATCAGAACCTAAGCCTTGGTCCTCTAAAGAAGAGAGTCCCAGGCATTTCTTATCTCACTTTCTTGGAGACTCGGTAGCTCAAGGACCATCTCTGTACCAAGTGCAAAAGGAAATTTGGAAAATAGCATCAAATATGCAGAGTATGATAATTCTTGGAACAAGATTACCAGGAACAACAATATCAATTTGCAAATGTGCCCGGCCTGGTAATTGTGGGGGTGAGGGGTAGGGGTAGGAGCATCATTTCGCACGTGCAGCTGTTCCGCTTCATTAGCGCTCCGGTCTAGACGGAATACAGTCATCTGGGAGTCTGCAGGAGGGGGATTGGGTCTCGTTTCCAGCCGGCCGCCCGTCTCAGGCTGAGCTCATTTCATCTGCGCATGTTAAACAGGGAGCGGGCCCTGCAATCAGACGGAGCCTTGGTTGTGGAAGTCCCAGTTAACAATAGCAAGCTCACACCTGCTCACCGCTGATGCTGGAACCTTCGAGTCGTGGGCTCAGTGCCCTGCAGCAGTGAGGAGATGAAGCTGGCTCTTGTACCCCTATTGCATGAATATGTGGCAGGAAAAAAAAAATCATTAGCTGCGTGTGCGTATTCGAAGCTGTTTCATTTCTCAGCCATCTAGAGCTCCAGTGCGGTAATTAAGGACCTGTGTTAAGCCGCTGGGCCTTTCGTATTTAACAGACGTGACTTAGCCCAGATTTTCACCCGTGCATGTGACCCTGGCTCCAAAGTTTAAAATGAGTCTTGGCTCAGCAAAAAGTTTGAAATTTGAGCTGAACCAAAGGTCTTTGCACAGTTTGAGAGCTAAAATCTGAGTGTAGGACCCTCTGAAAAGGAAACAAGGCTGGAGGTGGGGGCCCGGGGGCAGGGGGTTAGAGAAGATGAGGATGCAGAAGAAGCCTTCCCTCCCCCACCCCACACTGTAGCATGATCTCAGGTGCCTGGCCCAGGGCTCCCGGGGCTGGTTAACATGCGCCCTGCACAGCCCTCTCCGTTGCAGGGCGCCGAGGAAGCTGTGTGTCTTCATGCCAGAGGCCCAGCACACTGATTTTGAAATGCATCCAGCCCAGTTTTCATTTACTCTGCTCCTTCATTTACATCTCTGTGCAAAATGTCAGCGGCTCAGACCAGAGCTCTGGGCCCAGAGTGTTTTCGGGACCCCAGCCTTTGATACCCCTGAGAAAGGGAGGGGGGGCCTCGAAAACACTTCCCAGGCCCCCTCTGCAGCTGCACTGTCTGCATTTGTACAATACCTGCAAGCCAGCTCTGGATGGCTCTGCAACACCATATGGCAACAGCCGAAATGACAAGAGCAGTCACTATAGCAACCTTTCCCATTGTGCTCGCCCTGGGCTAGGCCTGGTGCTGAAAGCCACCGCTGCACTATTTCATTTGATCCTCGCAATGGCCCTGTGCGGAAAGATCTATCACTGCCCCTGTTATTCAGAGCAGAAAACAGGCTCTGGGACAAATACTATTGATCCTCGTTATTCGTGGATTCCATATTTGGGAAATCACTGACCCACTAAAATTTATTTGTAATTCCAAAGTTAACACTCACAGCACTTTCCATTCATTTCTAGACATGCACAGGGCAGGGAAAAATTTCAGTCGCCCAGTGGGCACGTTTCCAGCTGAGGTGGAACAAAGCAATACTCTCCCATCTTATTTCAGACCTCACACTGGAAGCACGGGGCCTTTTCTGCAGTCTGTGTATTTCTTTGATGCATGATATTTGCATATATTTATGGGGTATATGTGAAATTTTGTTACATGCACAGAATGTGTGGTGATCAAGTGTTTAGGGTATCCATCACCTTCAGCATTTATCATTTCTCTGTGTTGGGTACATTTCAAGTCCTCTCTTCTATTTTGAAATACACAATACATCGTTGTTAACTGTAGTCACCCAACTCTGCTACTGAGCACTAGAGCTTATTCCTTCAATCGAACTGTATGTTTGTGCCCATTAATCAACCTATCTTCACCCACCCCCTCCCACCCATACACCCTTCCCAGCCTCTGGTATCTATCATTCATCTCTACCTCCAAGTCATCAACTTTTTTAGCTCCTACATATGAATGAGAACATTCAGTATTTCCCTTTCTGTGCCTGGCTTATTTCATTTAACATCGTGACCTCCAGTTCCATCCATATTGCTGCAAATGACAGAATTTCATTCTTTTTTTATGGCCAAATAGTATTCCATTGTGTGCGTATACCACATTTTCTTTATCCTTTCATCCATGGACAGATGCTTAGGTTGATTTCATGTCTTTGCTGTTGTGAATAGTGCTGCAATAAACATGGGTATGGATTCCTTTGATATATGGATTCCTTTTCCTTTGGATAAATACCCAGCAGTGGAATTTCTGGATCATATGGTAATTCTATTTGCAGTTTTTTGAGAAAGCTCCATGCTATTTTCCAGAGTGGCTGAACGAATTTACATTCCCACCAATAGTGTATAAGAGTTTCCTTTTCTCTGCATCCTTGCCAACATGTTATTTTTTGTCTTTTTTAATAATACCATTCTAACTGGGGTGAGACCATATTGTAGCTTTGATTTGCATTTCCCTGATGATTAGTGATGTTGAGTATTTTTTCATATACCTGTTGGCCATTTGTATGTCTTCTTTTGGGAAATGTCTGTTCATGTCTTTGCCGATTTTTAATGGGATTATTTATTTATTTATTTTTTACTGTTGCGTTGAGTCCCTTGTATGTTCTGGATATTAGTCCCCTGTCAGATTAATAGTTCGCAAATATTTTCTCCCATTCAATCGGTTGTCTCTTCACTCTGTTGATTGTTTCTTTTGCTGGGCAGAAGGCTTTTAATTTAATATAGTCCCATTTGTCTATTTTTGGTTTTGTTGTTTGGATTCTTAGCCGTAAAAGCTTTGCCTAGACCAATGTCCTGACAAGTGTTCCCTGTTTTCTTCTAGTGGTTTTGTAGTTTCGGATCTTATGTTTAAATCTTTAATCTGTCTTGAGTTGATTTTTGTGTATGGTGAGCGATACGGGTCCAGTTTCATTCTGCGTACGGCTATCCAATTTTCACAGCACTGTTTGTTGAAGAGGAGTTTAATGAGACGTTGCATGAAAACTGCATAGTTGGCACAGTGCCTTGCACGTTTAAGAGCCAGTATCTGTTGGAAGTGAGAAGGTGACAGTGATGTCCTTCCCCCATCCACAGAGGGCAGACAGTAGCTGGCCAACCGCTGAGTATTCATATGCAAGACTCTTTTTTTTGAGGACTCCTCCCAAATTTCCTTTTAAATGACAGATGACTGTCATTTAAAGACCTAGTACAGTTTGGTAGGCTAGAATAAGAAAGATCCTGAAACAATGTCCTTTAGACATGTATTCCAAAATCATTTTTGTTAGCATAATAGGAAGCAATGTCTGGGTAAAATGTATTTCTTTTTTATTTCCATTCTGCCTCTAAAATAAAGAGATTCCTAAATTAAGGTGTTATCCACTTCTGCCCCCAATTAGCTTTAAAAGAATTTCCTCAGAGGCTGAACTCCTGGATGCCAGGTTTCATGCTGAGGTTTGTATAGCCGCAATATAAATAAATCTCTGTGAAAAGGTGCTTGCAATAGAACTTCTAAAAACAGCACTCTTTAGCATTGTAATGCTTCATAAACTCTGCTTCATACTCATTCTAAAACAGCAGCCCAAAGGAAGGATCGTTTTGGGATTGTTGCAGGATGATATTTTATAGGCACATGTGAGAAGCCTTTCTTCTCAGGATAGCACACCCATCCTTGCCTTTCTATAACAAATGCCTGGGTGAGGTTGTATAATATTCACTTGAGAGAGGAGGCCACTTACCATCTTCAGTCCCTTTCAGTGTAATTACAGGACAACCGAGGCCTGGCAGAGGGCCATGATGGCTGGCTCAAGACTCTCCAGCTGAGAGGCGGCTGGATGAGGATAAGTGTTGCAGAGATCCTCAGGTGGCTGGCACCGTCTTTCGTGCAAGAAGAGACAGAAGAGGCAAGAAAGACATAGCTGTGTAGATTCCTGTGTGGGAAGGCACCCTTCCCACAGAGGAGCCTCAGATCGTCCATCTTGTTTATTCCTACCTTCATTTCAGAGGGTGCTTTTGGGCTGGCACTTTGAGTTCCCTGTTCCCCAAAGAGCTTTCTATTTTCTTTCAGCTACTGTGACTCACCCTTGGAGGAAAAGTCTGTGGCTACCACATAGCAGTGCCATTAGAATCAGCCTTGCAGGTCATGCCAGCTAGTAGGCATTGCGAATGTACCTGGATCTAGAAACTAGGGCAGCCTAAGAGAACTTCGCCAATCCTAAAGGTGTAGGGCCAGCCCCTGAGATTCCCTAAGAAGGGAGCAGACCAATAGTCAAACCCATCCATTGTCAGGTAGCTGCTGCTCCAGGTGAGAGGGATGAGAGTGAGGCTGATTCCTGTGTAAATTTTCATATGTTTTGCCTATTTTTTGATTGGGTTGTTTCTCTTTGTATTGTTGAGTTGTAAGAGTTTTTTGTAAACTCTAGATGCAAGTCCTTTATCAGATGTATGTTTGGCAAATATTTTCTCCCAGTCTCTTCCTTGTCTTTCCATTTTCATAATGGTGTCTTTAGAAGGACAAAAGTTTTGGATTTTGAAGTTAAGTATCTGAATTTTTTTTCTCTTATGTTTGACGCTTCTGGTGTGGTATCTAAGAAATATTTGCCCAACACAAGGTCTCAAAGATTCCCTCCTATGTTTTCTTCTAAAATGTGTATATTTTAGCTATTACCCTTAAGTCTGTGTGATCCACTTTGAGTTAATTTTTGTGTTGGGGAAGGGATTATCACATTGACTGCCACACTAGAAAAAAATTTTTTTTCCCCGAGGGCCACAGTGTTTTATTATGAAAATAGAATAAAAACTTCAAAAACAAAATGATCCTTTCTAATTTAATGAAAAATCTGTTATTTGTTTGTCTGTTTGTTTTCTCTGTATGAGTTATATGCAACTCACAGTAGTAGAATCCATTTTTACACTGCATGCCAATTGAGTTGTATGTGACTCACGACATACTTATTGAATTTGGTTCAGAGAATTGAGTGTTCACATGCTTTCACAAGGTCCCGGGCTCAAAACTAGCATGAGTTAAATGCAACTCACATGGCAGTTATTGTGTTAAGTTGACCTTTTTTTGGGCATGGAGACCCATATGTCCCCACATCATTTGTTGGACAGAACCACAGATTCCACTCTTCTTCTCACTTCTCCTTTTTTGCTCACAGATCTGCAAAACCCCTGAGCCCAAAACGGCCTCCTACTGCAGCCCGTCCGTGCCGGTGCACTTCAACATCCAGCAGGACTGCGGCCACTTCGTCGCCTCGGTGCCCTCCAGCATGCTCACCTCTCCGGACGCGCCCAAGGACCCTGCGCCCGCCCCGCCCTCACAGCCGCCTGCCCAGGAGCAGGACTGCGTGGTGGTCATCACCCGGGAGGTGCCCCACCAGACCGCCTCCGACTTCGTGCGGGACTCGGTGGCCAGCCACCAGGTCGAGCCCGAGGCTTACGAGCGGCGCGTGTGCTTCCTGCTCCTGCAGCTCTGCAACGGGCTGGAGCACCTGAAGGAGCACGGCATCATCCACCGCGACCTGTGCCTGGAGAACCTGTTGCTGGTGCACTGCGCGCCGCAGGCCGCCCCTGCCACCAACGCCCCTCCCGCGTCCGTCCCCGCCGCCCCGGGCCCCTCTGCCACCGTCCCAGCCGGGGCCACTCCCAGCCCGGCAGCCGGCCCCGCCGCCGAGGGAGCGCCCGGGGAAAAGCAGCTGCCCCGGCTCATCATCAGCAACTTCCTGAAGGCCAAGCAGAAGCCGGGCGGCACCCCCAACCTGCAGCAGCAGAAGAGCCAGGCCCGGCTGGCCCCCGAGATCGTGTCCGCCTCCCAGTACCGCAAGTTCGATGAGTTCCAGACCGGCATCCTCATCTACGAGCTGCTGCACCAGCCCAACCCGTTCGAGGTGCGGGCCCGGCTGCGGGAGCGGGACTACCGGCAGGAGGACCTGCCCCCGCTGCCCGCGCTGTCGCTCTACTCGCCGGGCCTGCAGCAGCTGGCGCACCTGCTGCTCGAGGCCGACCCCATCAAGCGCATCCGCATCGGCGAGGCCAAGCGCGTGCTGCAGTGCCTGCTGTGGGGGCCCCGGCGCGAGCTGGTGGAGCCCCCCGCCGCCTCGGAGGAGGCGCTGTGCGGCACCCTGCACAACTGGATCGACGTGAAGCGGGCCCTGGTGATGATGAAGTTTGCGGAGAAGGCGGTGGACCGCAGGCGGGGCGTGGAGCTGGAGGACTGGCTTTGCTGCCAGTACCTGGCGTCCGCGGAGCCCGGGGCCCTGCTCCAGTCGCTGAAGCT